TATATATATATATATATATGCATTGTCAAAATTGAGCAACAAATAAATTTGATTTCAGAGAAAAACAAATAGAGCTGTATATTGGTTCAGCAAAATATCTAGCTAACAAACTGAAATTTTCTTAAAAGCGTGAACAAAAGGTCGAAATAACAATTTTTGAGGAAAGGACCGAGGATGATGTGGCCATAATGCCTCCACTTCAAAACTTTGAAATTTAGCTTTACTGTGAACGAGACACACTTATTCAATATTTGAGAGGGATGTTTCAAAGTTTAGCTGCTGTAGCTTCTGATTTTCGTTTTCTTACAAGACTTTCGGTACATGAATCCACCACTAAAGAATTCTGTAGCTGATCTCGCATGAAAATACAAAGATGATTTAAATGCCAATGAGATGTGTTTATAGATTGAAAGCTACAAATACCAAATAAAATAATTATTCTATTAATTAGATTCCACTTTCTATAGACAATCAGATAATTTGAAATAAAATTACCAGTTCATAAACATAATTTATATCACAGAATCTTGAAAATACGTTTCTGAGCTCTATTGTGTCTCCATCATCTGGTGTAAAACATATAACTACATATTTTAAAAAATAAATAAATAAATAAATAAATAAAAACATACCAATTAAAAACTGAATGAATAATAACAATGAAATTTTCAAACACGAGGAAATATGAAAATTATGTAAGCAGAAAGTATTCAGATTAGGAAACTTACCTTAAAAATTATAAGTGGAGTGAATTCAAAAATAGATTAGGAGTCATATGTAGATAAATAACATTTTTGTTATATAGGTTTACTAAAGTAATGATCCACATCTTCAAAGCACAATAACTTATCAACATATTCAGTCTTCAGCGATAATGGTTATAAATAAGACTCCATACATTAGTGGAGTGTATTCTATTATGAACTGTATCTGTCAACTTCAATTCTTAAAATGAACTTTAAAATATGATGAAACTATAAGGAGGTTGCAAGGGGATGAGAGAAAGGGAGGCTAAAGGAATGGAACGTTATGGAACCTGATGCTTTTATATATTTATTAACAAAATTATTGATTGTCTTTGATAAATTCTATTAATGAGGTTCCACCTTATTACAGACAATCAGATAAATTTGAAATAAAATTAACAGTTCATAAACATAGTTTATATCACAGAATCTTGAAAATATGTTTCGGAGCTCTATTGTGACTCTATCATCAGGTAAACAACATAAAGCACAATATTTTTAAAATAAAATAAA